GGAATCAACCGCGAACCATGTAGTTAAGCATCCACAGAGATGCCGGTATCAAAACGATACTGCTACGAACAGCTAGGCGAATCTCTTTCGCTGCGTCTGGAAGAAGACTGACATGCATATGACATCAATCAGTTGAAGATGCTTATTGTGATCGGCTCTCGATTTGTTGCGATAGGTCCTTCAGCTGTCCGGCCTGGGTAGCCTAGGTCAGGGTCAGATTTTTTGGCTGGGGATTCTAGGTAACGCTAGGGTGGGTTCGGTTCGGTCAGGGTTCAGGGCTGGTTAGACAAGGCTGGGGTCTCGCCTGGATTCGGAAAGGATAGGTTCGGGTAAGTAAGGTTCAGGTTTATGGTCGGTTCGGTTGGGTCACAGTTCGGGGTGTACGTTCGGTAAGGCTTGGTTTAACGATAAAGGTTGATGCTTATGGTAGTTTATTTAGCGTAGGTAAGGGTTTGGTTAGATCCGGATAGGTTGGGGTAGGATGGGCAAGGTTCGATTAGGCCAAGTAGGTTTAGGGTTTGGCAGAGGCTAGCACTGTTTAGATTGGGGTTTGCCGTAGGGCTTAGGGCATAGGTTTGGGTTTGGGTTTGGATTCGGGTCGGCTGGGTTCGGTCAGGTCAGGCCGTAGTTTTAGGCTTGGTTCGGTCAGGGTAGGCTGGAAAAGGTTAGGTTGGGGCGTGGGGTAGGTTGGCTCAGGTTGGGGTTCAGTTTCGGGTTCAGGTTGGGGGTAGGTTCGGTTAGGTTAGGTTGAGAGTTGGGTTGGGGTTTCGGGTATGGTAGGGTAGGTTCGAGGGAAGGATAAGTCAGAGTTCGGGGTAGGATAGGTCAGGCTACTGTAGGGCATTAAGTTGGGTTAGGTTCGGGTGTAGGCTAGGTTAGTTAGGATAGGTACGGCTTTGTTTGGTTCCAGGTTAGGGTTTGGGATAGGCTATCTCAGTCTAGGCAAGGCTTGGGTTAGACAAGGGTTGTTAGATGAGGGTGGGACTTCGGCTAGGTTTCAGAATAGGTTAGGTAGCTTCGGGCCTTGCATACATAGGTGAGTGCATTCTATGTAAGGGTTGGGTGAAGGCCAGGTTTTAGGTGAGGTGAGGTTTGGTTGGGCTACGGCTAGGGTTTGGGAAATAACGTTAGGTCACAGTTAGGTCAGGTTCGGGCAGGGCTTGGGTCAGCAGCAGTTTGGGATTCTCAGGATAGCTCGGCTTCACCCAGGATTATGTTAGGGCAGGCTGATTCAGGTTAGGTTCGCTTAGGGTCTGGGGCAAGGTAGGTTAGGGTGGCTCAGGATCCGTTCTGTTTGTTCAGGTTAGGCTAGATTCGATAGCTAGATTTGGTTGGGAAGGCTGCGAGGTAGACGGGGGTTTAGGGTAAGTTAGGATAGGCTTTGTTAAGCCAGGTTCGGGTTGTACAGTTAGTGGTGAATGTGAACGGTGCCTCTCAAGACATGTCGGCTCAGGCCTCGACCCTTGCGAACTTCATTCTTTCAGGGTCTTCGGCCGATTGGTGGGGTTTGGGGTGTCCGGCACATTGTTCAGGGTCGGTTTCCGTTTCGGCCCTCTCCTTCCTTTCGGGGTCCTTTTTCGGCATAGTGGTTACCTTGTTTGTGTTCCGGGCCACTTTGCTTTCTCCTGCAGCCAGGCAAGCAGTTGAAGCACCCGAAGCAGTGGTGCCTCGCCCTCGCTCCCTCCGGCTGAGGCCTTACTTGTATGAGTGACGTGCGACAGGACCTCGCTGCGTCGGCCACTGCAAGACTGAGCCTGGAGGTGTGCCTAGTTCCTCCGCCCCTTCGGGTACCCTAAGCTCCTCAGCCGAGGCCCCAGAACCCCTAGGACCCGTGCGGCACACCTCGCCTCCTCCTTTACTTGAGGACGTTCTGTTTCTTGCTCGCAGCTTGCCCCTGGCCTCTCGTGAGGCTCGGGCTCACGGCTTCCCTACTGAGGGACAGCTTGCCACGCAGATCATGGGCGCCCTCCCCACTTTGACAGCACAGGTGCAGTCCCTTGCAGACCGCCAGGAGAGTTTAGAGCGGAAGCTGCAGCCCAAGCCTCATCAGCAAAAGTTTTTCCCACCTCATTCAAAGGCAGCCGCTCCAGAGGCCATGCTTCGTTCTTTGGGACCGCCCCCTCGTCTTCGAGAGCCAGCCTTAGTGCCCTCCGGGCCCCAGCCTCCTGCACCGGTGCCTTTGGGGGTCGAGGAAGATCAGGCCGATGCCCAACCTCAGCAAGAGCACCTCGCCGATACCATTTTGCAGCAGAGCCAGGCCTTGACTCTTCTGGTGGGGCATTTTTCAGAGGGCGGGGTGGACTCCACAGCCCTCAGTCAAGGAACCGCGCGTGGTACTCGTCCAAGCGCGAAAAACTGCAGGCGGATTTGGCCACTCGGTCGGGCGACTTTCTTCTCCAGTCTCTCAGGCCGCTTTCTGTCGGATTATGCGATGAAGGACGCGGGTCCTCTATTTACCCGCTATGCAGAAAGGTACGGCGGATTTGGAGGGCAGCGGGAAGCAGGTAATACGATGATGTGGGTCCTGTGCCACATAGGCGACTGTATGCTCGCTGGAGATTCAGAGGGCGCTCCGGAGCTACTGGCTCTTGCCCTAGTAACACAGGAGCAAGCTGCCCTGGATTCTGGGAGTTGGAGTGTGGCATACTTATTAACGCTCCTAGAAGAGCCACCACCTCAGCTCTTCTCCGGGAGGTCTGCGACCAGCAAGTGCGAGGCTGGAGGCGTTGTGTCCCCCTGCCTGCCACGCTTGCATTTATAAAGGAAATAGATGCTCTACACGCGAGGCGCAAAGAGCTGGCTCAAGCATCGAAGGCCGCTCCTTCCAGCCAGCCGTCCCATGAGCAGCCCCGAAAAGGAAGCCAAGGTTTCCCCGCAGACCGAAACAACCCCCCGAAGGCTAGAGGCCCTGCACGTGTGCCAGTGCGCCGCCACGGCCCGCCCACGATCCTTTCCAGGTGGGGCCGTCCTCGCCTCTTTTGTGCCCATCGGCTTCAGTTCCCGAACCTTTGAATGTTCGGGCCACCTGTGTCAACGTGAAATTGATCGCATGTTTTTGCCGAGGCTCCCCGGTTTGGGTCTGAGACTCCTGCTGCCAATGCCAGCCAAAGGCCAGATGTTGAGAGGACCGTTTCCTTTCTTTCCTGGGCCATGAAGCTAGCCCCCCTGTTGAGGGCGCGGGCCCCTTTTTCAAGCTTCCTTTGATTTGAGTTGGGCAGCCGTTCTGCCCCTGCACATGCCCTCTACCCTTTGCCGATCCCGTTCCCAGGTGTCTTTCGGCATTGTGACCCCCAGCTGGGTTCGAGAGCTCGAGGCAAGATTGCTCTGAAACGGGCAACTCATGTGGCCGTGATGGCCCTTAACTACCTCCACCACAACCTCTCTCCCCCAAGCTTAGGCTTGCTGCGGAGGAAGCCAAGCCCTGCGCAAGCTAGGGCCTGGACCTTGTCTTCAGGCTTTGTAGGGCGTGCGGTGCCGTCGAGGATGTCTCTATTCCCTCGGCTGCGACAATATACCGAATTACTTGCACGACTCGGAGATCTCTCTGATTTCCTCACGGTGACGGGCCCCAATGCGTTCCCAGGCATGACTCCGAACGGGCGAGAGCCCACTGCGCCCCTACTATGCGCTCAAGCCAGGTGAGCTGAAACTCACAGGACGGGGTAATTTTGACCCCACGCCTTTTCTCACGGACGACCTTGCTCTGCCCTTCCTTGAGCCAGACTTCATCTGCCATGGTGCCTCGGCCCCTGTACCCTGATGTGACCAGGGAGGACTACGGTGCTACATTGGAGCTGGCTTTGCTCTGGGACAAGCAGGGCCTCCTGCGGCTTGACAAGGGCCCGGCTGCCCTTGGCAGTGAGAGGAATTTGTGCGCGTGTTCAACTGCTTCAAAAGCCCAGGTGTTGCAAGAATGATTGGGGATCGCAGAGGCAGGAAATTTTGCGAGATTCCCGTCCGGGGCCCGTCTTCCGGGCTCCCTCCTGGAGAGCTGCTGCTTGGGCTCATGCCGCAGCCCTCGCAGTGCCTATAGTGGTGAGTGTGACCGACAGAAAAGACTTCTACACGCAACTGAGG